ATGTATTGCTGTTTATGCTGTACTGGAGTGAGATAATGATGCGAAATTCCATGTATTTGCCACCAAACACAAGGCAAATGCATAAAACGAACAATCTACTGACAACTTAGCGTCTTGTTTTCCATCTGTATAGTTCCACTTTCGCAGTTGTTCCAATTCTTGGGTTTCACTATGGCATTATGCAGTGAATCTGACGGGGGAGTCAACCTCAAATGTATTGCTGTTTATGCTGTACTGGAGTGAGAAAATGATGCGAAATTCCATGTATTTGCCACCAAACACAAGGCAAATGCATAAAACGAACAATCTACTGACAACTTAGCGTTGTGTTTTCCATCTATGACTATAAGACCGTTCATACTTCGTGTAACCATAGCATATAACGTTCCATTATCGGATCGGATATTAAGGTTTCAAAATGGCGGATAGTAGGAGTGACGAGATAAATAGTTCATGTAATAAAAGAAGGTTGGAGGCCAATTTGGTTTTAGAAAATGAGAACGAAGAATGTAAGAAAATGAAATATGAAGCAATGAATGACTTCCAGTTGGTAAAAATTCTTGCGGAAGATGCTAGGAACAAAACTTTAATTCTGCACTTGCAAAGTATGTAATACATTTTTCTGCCAAACATGGATGCAACCCAGAGGTTTTTTCAGGGATTTTTTAGTGCCGTTAAACGGCCCCAAAAACTCAATCTTGAATTGAGTTTTGAAACTCAATCTTCTCACCAAAGTTTCAGTGCAGTAAAAATAAAGTTGTTTGAGTTAAATTCGTGACGTGTGGAAATTAGTTTTCAGTTGGAAACCCGACAATTAAAAAAAAATGGCTGGAATTCATCTCACAACACAAGAAAAACTATGCATTCGCCATCTTTGACCCGTTTATAGTGTCCCTTAGTGGCCCTGCTTTAACACATTCCGTCTCAACTACATTTATTGAGTACAGGTGTCAGTCCCCCCCCCTGGTAGAGGGGGGGGGGTTTGCAGCCACCCCAGCTGTTCAGCTAAACTCAATCTTCTCTACAAAAATGGACCCGGGAGAAAATCCGGAAAAAAACCCTGGCAACCGGATATTAGGACAGGGTAGTGAGATAATTTCTTTGTCTGTACTGTAGGTGCATTCTGCCCAGGTACTTATACAACTAGATGTGACCAATCCTGTTCCCAGGCCATTTGCCCATTTCCTTTCACTTGGAAAAAGAGGGAGATCCATTTCCAGGGACCACAGAGTTGGGGAGTGCCTCCCCCTCCTCCATCTTTTGCTGCATAAACTGAAATATGGACTTCCCCACAAGACAAGGCATCACCCCAGGGCTACAATGCCACCTGAATACCATTTTGAAAATAAGCTTTGAAAGTATCGCTCTCATGGAACTACTCAGGCCTTTGCTTATTCTACATATATTATCAGGGAGTTGCAGCCTAAATAAAGCCCCAATATTTTGCTAAATTATATGTGTTTGGACATAAGGATGCCTATCAAATTGGAAAAAAATGTCAGGTTTGACCCTATAGCACCAATAGCATTTAGGAACATGATATTGAAATTAAAGTATGTGCATGCATTGTAACACCAACAGCAGCTTACAACTGTGTCATTAGTAGTGCATAGGTGTAAGGGTGGGAAAAGTTTAGGGTGGAAGAAAGAAATTTGCCTGACTTTTTTACACTTTGTCCGACTCATCCAAAAAATTTTCCATGCAAACTTTCCAAAATTTAATTAATATTGTCAATAATTTTTTTTGCATTTTCGACGTTTATCTTGCAATTGCTTGTTTTAAAATCTATATCCCCCATCTGTTTGCCCAACTCATGTTTGTGATTTGCCCAACTTCATTTTGTGATTTGCCCAACTTCATTTTCACTGGGGGTAGCTTTCCTCTGCCCCTGCCTTGTATGCTTATGCATTGGTGTATTAGTCATGGCCAGTGAGCTCTATACATTACCTGAAGCAAAAACCTCAGTCATTCGGCATATACTCGATTATGGAGCTGGCTGGTCATGATGAAATAATGAGAGGTTTTGATATTTTTATGTTTTAGATAAAGTTGAACATAAAGATGCAGTATCTATTCTTGAGAAAACTCCATTTTCAAATAAGATGGTTGACACAATTCTCTCCTCTGATGTTAAAATGGAGCTCCAATTCAATAATGATATTTACTCACAATTTCTTTGCAAATTCCCAGAAGAAATAAATTTTGTGAAGAATACACTAATATATCCAGCTACTGAAAAACATCTCAATAAATACTCAGCTCAACGAACATACTTGGTGACTGAAACACCTGACATTTATCAGAAGGTCACTCTTCCATTCATTGAGGAACAGGCTGGTCATTTACAGGTGAAATATGCCAAAGTTTACTGTTTGTAATTGCAAAGGCAATAGCATTGTTTCAAAATATATGCAAGTTAAGTTAAAACTTGCACAGTAAGTCGAAATTGAAACATGTTAACTTGTATGTCTTACAGTTCAAAAGCAAGTGTGGGGTGTTTTTCAAATTTGGGAAAATTAATAAGTAAATGCAACTTTATCCAATTAAAAATATTCCTGACCACGGTGGGAATCGAACCTACGACCTTTGGAATACTAGCCCAGTGCTCTGCTAACTGAGCTACGCAATCTGGTCGGTTCGAGTATGTGCTAGTATTCCAAAGGTCGTAGGTTCGATTCCCACCGTGGTCAGGCAAATTTTTCAAGCTTGCCCGGTGTGGATATACACTCAGGGTAACATCGCAAGCATCATATTCACCTGAGTACATTACACCAACACAGAAAAAATTTAACCGATTAAGTTGCATTGTGCCAGATTAAGTTGCAGACGATTTGGGATTTCAGCAAAGCGCTGTTCAAAGGGAAAAAATCGTTCTCCCAAATAAATATATTTCACAATGCCCTCCCTTGTTTGACAGTTTGTCCCATGTCAAGGTAGTTGCGAGGGATGAACCAGGCGAGAATCATAATCTAATGATAACTTACTATCAATGCCGTATAATTCAAGCATAATGTCCGTAGAGTTATATAATAGAATATTTGGCCATATTGTTCAAAACTAGTTTGATATAATTATTCTGGCACTGCAGTCTGAGAATACAATGAGAAATTCATTGTCTCGAGCAGGTTGTGAACTCACATCTTCAGGTTTCACGAATGCCATTCTTGATTCTCCCCATTGGGCTATTGCATGAGTATACAGGGTTGGTAGCGATTCTTATCCGGTGCACGAAATATTTTCGAATCCTGCGCGAGACAAGGAATTTTTTGTTGTACTCTGGTGTGTCAGCTAGATTAATATGAAACTAATTTTAGATTATGCTGGACATTGATATTTATCATCAGACCTCATTAAGGTCGATCAGACCTCATTAAGGTCGATGTCTCCAAATATTTCCTTGCAAATCTAACGTTATTTTCTATTTAGTGGGTGTATAATATTTTGGAGAAGAAAGCGGAAGCAGATCGTATAGTGTGTGAAGATCCTCATCCTGAACATGGTTTTATTCTTTTGCCTGATCTCAAGTGGGAACAAACACAACTGAATAATCTTTATGTCATGGCAGTTTCTTATAAACATGGAATAAAAACATTACGAGATTTAAATGCCACACACTTGCCACTTCTTAAGAATATTCTCAAACAAGGAACGGTAAGAAACAATCAAATGTCAGGATTTTCAAACGTACTGTATTGTCGTCCCACTTCCATTCTCGGGTTTCATATGGCGTCACGTGGGGGTCAAGGGTCTGTGTCGAGGGTAAAGGACTACTTTTATATTTTTTAATATATTGTTTTATATTTTCGGAGAACTCATTTAAATAAGATGCGTTGACAGACATTTTGTTTCTTTCTGAACAAGCTTTCGTTGGTAGGGATGCAACTACCTGAAAAAATATAAGCCCTTACGAGAATTTCGACGTTTCGAGCGAGGGCCCTTCGTCTGGAGTTACTATCGGGGGTCGGGAAAATTACATGAGCTTTCATGCTAAGAATATAAAAACGATCACGTGACAAAAAATAAACCAATCAGACGGAATTAGGCAAAACAAAGTTTAAACAATCAAAGGCCGTTGAGGCCGACTCGCGGATCAGATCAAATGAAAGTGACAGGACCAATTAGAGCAGTTTGCAGTTGTTTTTGCAAACGAGCACCGTGCCAAATCAAAAGAACGAACGCGTGCTCCAGCCCGATTTCCGGTTCTGAAAGGCCCGATTCGCTGGCAAACAGTGCGCGCAAAGCAGGCTGGTCATTTCCCATTCCCCACACTCAAGTAACCACAAAGACTCACAGATGTTGATTCGCAACATCCATGAGTCAAAAACGTAAATCACATTATAGATTATATTAAATACAAATATACAGAAAACTGCAGCAAATACAACAAAATATATGAAACAAGTATGGAATAAGGTAAAAATGAAAAGTATTACTGTCAACGTTTGCTTTTGACAGGCAAAGACAAAGTTAAACATAGGGAAAACGTTCATTAATGCCATAGAGGTAGACAGTGCCAAGTTTGGAAATGAGGCGCATTTCATGTCTTTTGGGGCTATCGTTGCTACCAGAAATATTCAATGGACCGCGTTGCTACCAGAAATGGGACGAAGGGCTCGAATTTCCACATCAGAAACACTGTGATTGCCAGTATTAAAATGTCTGGCAACGGGCTGGTTAGCATCATTGCCAATGACTGCACATCGATGCTCATTAGACTTTGTCCTTAAAGGTCTTTTTCTCCAATTAGCATGCCACATCTACTGCTTGAGATGCAGTAGATGAGATGGGAGGAGGTGCACGTGAAATGGTGTTCATCTTGATTAACGAATATAAGTAAATAAAATATATAGAAATCTAATGAGTGTATACTGTATATTGACATTCTAGGAAGCAATTCTGAAGACTTACAACGTCCATCCATCACAACTCCGTGTTTTTGTTCATTACCAGCCAAGCTACTATCATTTTCACGTGCATTTCACGCACGTGGAGTATGACGCACCAGGAAGTGTCGTAGGTAGAGCTCATCTCTTGCAGGATATTATTGATAATATTGAAAACTTTGACAGTAACTACTATGCAAAGAAAACTTTGCAATTTAATATAAGTGAAAAAAACAAACTTTTTTCTCGTTTAAAGACTGCAGGAATAGTTAGTGAAATAACTGTTGAATAGACAACATAGATAATATACAAATAATGAATGTTTATGAGTGCAATGGTAAGAATATTTTCATGAGGTGAAAGATGGAATGTTCCATTCAACGAGGCGACAGCCGAGTTGAATGGAACATTCCATCTTTCACCGAATGAAAATATTCTTACCATTGCACGAAGGAACATTCATTATTTGTTTTATATAATACCAAAATAGTTTAAATAGACTAATAGATTCGTATGAGAAGCATTTTGAGGGATGCGATTTATCGAAAACACAAAGAGTGCAATTGTACTATACGTTTTATTCCATTGCACTCGCGGAGAGTGCAATGGAACTCTTGGGAAATGGAATTTTCTATTCGATATCACGTGACCATAAACAGCCAATTAAACGATTAGAATTTATTAAGGTATTATATAATAGTTTTTACTGACTACTGTAAATATGTTTACATTGCCTTCATATTAAAGTTTTTCGATTTTCACTGTCCGATAACTTCGATCCTGGTTTTTCAAATATTTAGAAGCGCTATAACATTTTGAGTTATTTGGTCTATATATCTTTTAAAATCTCCTTTCATTGGCTATTTTATCAACTTTCAAAAACTGAAAAATCGCGCCGCGTTGTCGAATCGTGTCCGGTGTGTCTCGGTCTCGATATTTCCTTTGTGTTTTCCTTATGAATGAATCTATGATATTTAGGTTTATCATAGATATTTCTGTCATAGTTATTTCATCGTTAGATGATTATTTTAAATTGCGATTTAAATCCAATTAACCGAGCAGCACTTCATTTACGTAATAATGGCTTCATCTAATTAGCTAATAATTTGCATTATATGCGTCATAATTCATTAGTTAATTGCGCATTTCTTTCAAAAGACGTCTCCAGTAAAGATTGCTCAAAAATTGAAATATTGTAGTATTGTTCGTCTCAGTGAATTCAGGTAAGGTTGCCATCATTGAACTATTTAATTAAAGGGGTACTTTACACTTTACTGACCCAAGAATGCAATTTTTAATGCAATTATGGTGTTTGGCATATGTATTCAATAGGGAGTTTAAGCTTCACGTTTCCAGGAACGGCAAACGGCAGATAAGAAATTTCTTGGCAAAATTTTCGTTGAACGTTTTCGTTTCATATTTTTTCTTGCGTTGAAAGAATAATTATGTATTTCAGTTTTAAAACAGCTAGCAAGTTCATTTACTCTTTATTGCCTGATACCGCGTAAAATTTTTCTTTGCCTGGCCTTTGCCGTTTGCCGCGAAACTTAAACTCTCTAATGATTATTCGTGTACGGGTAAATTTTCCATTATTTTAAGGAACTTTACATGAAATTTCGTTTGGTTTTGGCTGGGATAGATGAGCCAAATATTAAGCGTAAATACTGAGCCATTAACCATGTATTAAGACACAAAATGCAACATTTCATGACAATCTGTCCCTGTTTTTACTTTGAATATCTTCAACGAAACTTTCACAGTAAAATTGCATGTTTAGAAACTGGTCCCCTCATTTCTACCTGTCGTCGTAATCTGACTTCCACTACTGTTACGTTACCAATAACAAATCAGATGCATGTATTCTATCCGATTAACCAATCAGTTGCGGAAGTAGTGCAAGTCAAATCTGAACCTCTCTAATGCAGCCCCTGATCGGGTTTGAATTATTTAGGACACTGGCGACTTTTATCTTAAGTGATCCGGATGTACGATGAATCATTTTCTACACTATTAACATTATAGATAACCGTGGAGTCGACCAAGGGAAACGATGCAGAATTTAAACCAAGTTTTTACACTGTTATTACTGGCACTTGCAGTCTTTCTTGCTCCATTTTGGATACCGATTGCTATAGCTGTTATAGCGACAACCCTTGTCGTGCTTGGAGGAATATTTACAATATTTTCTATGCCTACTTGTGTCGTTTTAGCTTTTGTCTTGGGAATATTTGGCATACTACTTCTCTTCGGCACAGGTGTACCGGCAATCTCCCAAATTTTGCAACGTATCCTGTATTCATTAGGAGTGGAAAGTAGTGAGAGCTTGAGATGGCTGCCTTTTACCAAAAGTAATTTGCGACAAAGTGAAAGTAAAGATCAAGTGACGAGTTCTACAGCTGACCTACAGATAAAAGATTCTTGGGATAATTTCACGTGAACATGTAATATAGATGTGTCAAGCAAACATTAAACTTGAGTACTTATAAAATGAAGTTTCTTTTTATTAATGCAATGTCCACATCTGTATTTTCACAACATTCAGGCATTTTTAGAAATTTTAAAAAATTTACATCTCGTGGATAGCGCTGTCCGGCCTTCGTACAACCGGTAATTGTTCAGGTTTTTTATTGGGGGGGGGGGGGAATTCCCCCTCCTACAGTCACAAACCCAGACGTCATTTCATACGCTCACCTATTTTCAAGTGAGGGGATAGAAATGATATCTGGGTTAATTCACCAACTGTACCTGAGCAACTCTAGGTGATTACCCATTTTTATGCTCAAGGTTATATGCCTTTAGTAACCACTTACCAGTTTAATATTAATAATGGATATTCAATAGATTCATTCTCCCATTTTGAGGGGAAATGCCCCTCCCTAGAATTTAGCTATTTTCAGATTGGGGGGGGATTCGGGACTTTGAGTGGGGGAGGGGGGAGAATTATATAATAATAAAAGTGACAAATACTCGCGTTAAAAACATATTCACGAAGGTATGAGGCAAGTTTTATATTCTCAACTTGGAGGCTTTTAATTTTCGGGGCAAAGCCCCTCGGGAAATATCATCACTTTGGGTAATATTTCACCGAATCCCCCTCGCTCCAGGTCTATGAATGATAAAAGTTAATCTGAATGATCGGGGTCCGTGTATTCGATTTTATCATAAAAAGGTATTTGAACATTGCTTTACATTGCTAGACAATAAAGTCTAAATAAGGGACAAAACATAAAGGAGAATTTTTTATATTTCTTTCAAAACATTGTTTACAATATTTACGTTTCTCATCCATGCACTATGTTATTAAAATAAAATAAACGAAAACTATAACTCGTTAAAATTTGCTTCCTTATATAACTTCGGATAGCAGTGCTGTTCACGTGATGGTCATAATTCGACGTATCATGATGTCATCAATCTAGCGTACACAACATCATGGAGTGTGAATCAGGCATGAATGCATTGAAGTCCGCTATATAAATATATTTTTATCTTGAAATCTAGTATATCTTAAAGTACTGTATTTATAATTTCTGTATAATATGGAGTAGAGGCAGACGTATTTTTGCTTTCACTCAAAACACCCTTGTGAATATGTGTACAAACGTGTCAATGTGAAAAAAGAAATAGCAAAATCCTCCATGAAATTGTGAACAGAAATTACGCAGTTTTTTACTAACATCCATCTAAATAATTCTAAAGAGTTTTTTCAGTTCAATCATTAATTGCCAGTCGCTTTTCTGGAGATCATCTCTGAAATATTCTTTAACAGCATCAATTGACTCTCGGGATATCTGTGGAAAAGATTGGAAATATTTCATCACAGCGACTTTATGAATTGCTTGGGCTCTTTATCGCTGAATGAATCTACCTTGTCCTTGTCCTTTAAAAAATTCCGATCTATCATGGGGTTCAGCCCTTGGTTTCAAAAATGCAGGACAAAAGTGGCTTTTTAAAGAAAATAAAGCAGTTTTTCAGTAATATTGTAACAACCAACTTAATATAGATAAAAAGATGTTATGCTTTATGTAAGAGTCTGAGCAGTAACTATTGCCTCAGAGTTACTGCTGAGGGAACCAATCAGAATGCTCAAAGGCCATTTTTCAATATACTGAAATTATACTAACTTCGTTTAGAACACGTTTAATTAATTTATATAATAGCAAATCAATAACATACAAACTTCCTTATACCTGCAGCTAATACTGAGTTTCTGTGTAGTAAATGTTTGTACATAGCGATACAAAGTTATAGGACCGATATGTGTGAGTGTAACCATTTTTCTCGAATTAAATAACAAAAATTACAAATGCATATTATTTGTCCGGTATATATGAAGTAAAAGCGATTACTGATTGAAAAAGTGCGCTTCATGTTTGATGAAAAAAATGGCGTATGTAATGTTAAATTAAAGTGTGCAGGGGTCGATGGCGCATACATTCGGATAGTGATTTTTTCAAGCTTTGTAGAATTGGTCATTGATTGCAATAACCCAGATCGGTATTTATCAATTTCAAAAAAATTATATTGTGGGGTCCAGTTTTATAATTTCACATGTCTCCGGCATTTTTACCAAAGCTGAAAAATTACTTTCTGATGGCCCTGCTACACTCATATGGGCTGACCGCTGACCTATTGTATCGAATTACCGGTAAATTAAAGATTAGTTCAACTGTTGGGCTTAGCATTGCCTTATCAACATGTACTTCGCGAATGAGTGAGACTCACCTTACTAATAAGTAGATCTGTTTCATCAAAATGACGGCCATACATTTTGGGTGCTTCTCCGGGGATTGGTTCAATTTTTACGCAGACCTCCATTCCTTTTGTTGCTTTCTCCGCAGGTTTATGGTTCGTCTCAATTCCTGTCACAATACCGATGTCAACAAACTACAACACAATCACAATACCGATGTCAACAAACTACAACACAATAATGGTATAATTGTATATGGTATAACTGTATATGGTATAACAGTATATGGTATAATAGTATAGTATATGGTATAATAGTATATGGTATAATAGTATATGGTATAATAGTATATGGTATAATAGTATATGGTATAATAGTATATGGTATAATATTATATGGTATAATATGCTGTGCTGAGTGGTTATATTACTACCTTACGGGCTACTAACTATATGGTATAATAGTATATGGTATAATAGTATATGGTATAATATGCTGTGCTGAGTGGTTATATTACTACCTTACGGGCTACTAACTCTTGACGAAGGGCCTTCGCTCGAAACGTCGAGTTTCTGCTTTTTTTTAAGGTAGTAATATAACCACTCAGCACAGCATTTCTACATTCAGGTACTACCTACACTGGTACAGACAGTTTTAGTATATGGTATAATAGTATATGGTATAATAGTACGGTATAACAGCATGATATGCCATATATTATGGTGCCAGTAAATGAATGGTTATGAAAAATAAGGCCAATGAAGGGTTATGAAAAATATGAGCAGATGTTTGCTCAACCTTATGCCCAAAACTGCCCTACTTCCTTGGCGGGTCTGTGAAAGAGATCATATGTGAAAGGCATAATTTTGCTGCGAAAATAAAAAAATATGTGTCTTTGTTTATAGTTTTTCAATTCAGCACACCCACCGATCTGAGTGCACCGAGCATTGCAGAGGAATAAGGCGAGGAAACGCAGACAGTTCCCACAGACCACTGGAATATCTTCATTTTTACTGTTAGATTGACAAAATTTTGTATGTTACCCAATTTCTGCCGAACCAAGGAAGGTTTCGATATATCTTGAACATGACGTCTGCTAAATGCGTGACACAAAATGCATGACCTGTAGTTTGGGTGTAATGGCGAGTAGACCAGAGTAGGTCACGTATTACAGAGTAGGCCAGCTCACTCTCCAAATGCAAAATATCTGTCAATTTGGGGGTGTATTATGAAAATATCAAAATGATATACTTCTCCGGTTACACATAAAATACAATACAATACAATACAATACAATACAATACAATACAATACAATACCAGTACAATACAATACAGTACAGTCAGGGCCGCCGAGAGGTTGGCGGGGGCCCGGGGCAAATTTTTTTTAGGGGCCCCTATCTTACAATACCAGTACAGTACAGTCAGGGCCGCCGAGAGGTTGGCGGGGGCCCGGGGCAAATTTTTTTTAGGGGCCCCTATCTAAAAAATTTTTCCCGGAAAAATATTTTTCCGGAGAACAACCTCCCCCCCCGTCGCCAAAAAATTTTCGGTCAGTGGGTAACCATTTTAGGGGTAAAAAATTTTTCCGGAGTACAAAATTTTTCCGGACGAGTACGTTGCAACTGCTTTCGAGGGACTTTATCTCATTTTTTATGCCAAAATTCGGTACTTAGCCCAAGAGAACAGATATCTTGTCCTTTGCGCGGAAATATTTAACACACAAAAAAGGCTGGGGCCCAACAAAAATTTCTCAGGGGCCCCCAGCAACTCGGGGCCCGGGGCAATTTGCCCCCCCCCCCTCTCTGCGGCCCTGAGTACAGTACAGTACAGTACAGTACAGTACAGTACAGTACAAAATCTCTACCGGCCGGAATAAAGGATCCGCCCTGGGGATTATTTTGCGCTAGAAAGCTTATACTGCCCCAAATAAAGATGCATCCTACCTCTTTACTAGGTACACATATCGGAGTTCCTTCTTTGACAATTCCAGCTTCAACAGCAACGCCAAGAACAATGGGATCTCGAGTATTGAAGATATGTTCTGTGAGAACTCGTAGTTTACATGGGAATATTGCAATATGCTTGAATTCATCACGTCTCTTCTGTTTTAATTCCTATCAAAATTAAAATAGACGCCATGAAATGCATGAATACTAACCTGAGTATCAGGCCCTTATGTCTTCATTCGCCAGGATTAATTGGCGGCGGCGAATGAAGGAGGGCCTGATACAATTCTTTACCGCGGCGCATGTAAAAAGCCAGATTCTGGCTTTTTCGTCTGATTGGCCGATTAGACAAACGATTTTTTAAATCTGTCATTTGATTGGCTGGTGCTAATTAGATTATACTATTGTTGTTGATATATTTTATAACGATCACAACTACAATTATAGCCGGCCCACTAAACGGCTGAATTTAAATTAAAACTGCAGTAAAATTAGAAAATAATCGCAAATTAGCGAAATATATTGCAAATGTAGCTTAATATATTAAATCGCCATCAGGTTGCACTATCGACTAACTCACGTATAGTTATAAAGTATACATACTTTATAATTATACGTCAGTTTGTTGATAAATACGGTATAAGCGCCATGTAAAGCTCATTGTAGTCACTGAAACTTAAATACGAATTTAATATAAGCTACATTTGCAATATATTTCGCTAATTTGTGATTATTTTTGTTAATTTTATAAGTTCATTGCAGTTTTAATTTAAATTCAGCCGTTTAGTCGGCCGCCTATGCTAAAATTAGATTGTTGTAATGTTGACGTTGTGTGAAATTTAAATTTCTCCTGCGACATTTTGATTGGATACTAAATATAAACTTTGCTGTGGGTGGAAAGCGATCAGGTTAAGTTTTGTGTCAGGCTCTATTTGTAAAATAGAGCCTGATACTCAGGTTACATGAATACTTGAACCTTGCCCGTTCCTGCAAAGTGTTTGTCTTGAAACAGTAAAAGGAATATTTATGCCAAGCTTTGGATATTCTTCAACTTGTTCTAAAATATTGTTTCCCAATCACCAAAGCTGGAAAATCATAGGATAAAAAAAATCTAGAAATTCTGGGAAGAAATACCTAGACAGAGGAAGGTATGGAGCTTGGAAGAGTTGTTTATGAATATTTTTATAAGAATGGCTGCCAGTCAGAAATAAGAGGCTGTAGAAGAGAATGTCAGAAATTTGTAATATTTAAGGCATGTCTAGAGTATTAGAACAGAGACTAGCAGATCAAGTGAAGCATATAAAACAGAAAGGTGGATATCAGTACAAATAGAAGAAGTGAAGAGGATAGCGCTGAATAGTGATAACATATCGGAATAGGAACGGGAAGGAAGTCGAAACGGGGTTGAGAAAACAGAGGAGAAGGAAATACTTAGTTTTGGAGAAGATATGTCAGGTGACGATTAAGGGGAACAGGGGTAAGGCGACGGCGGTCAGTTGTATCATTTTAGATATATAAGAAATGTGACATCTTTACATGTTTTTGTTCGAGTACATACGGCAGGACGACTAGTCGTATGGTGTAGATGGGCCTTCTGCATGATTTACAGTTAAATAGTACCTAACTTAAAATACGCGATTGTGATTGGTTAACTTCGCACTAATCATTATCTCCCTCTTCCCGTGGATCAAGTCACGAAGAAATAAAACATACCTCTCTATAATTCATAAACTTATCAAAAAGATGATAAATAATGTCAGCTGTGAATATTTTCACACCAAGACTATCAGCAAGCTCCTGACCATCACGTTCAACTTTCACGTCAAATGCAAGAATCACGGCAAACCTGAAAGGAAAATCACATAATTACATACACAATATACATTTGAACGAGGAGTTCTTTTCGCAAGCACACTGCCGCCTCCAACTGGGGAGAGGGAGGGAAACTTTTCCGGACATTATGTTCTCATTTTTTTCCATTTGGTTATTCCCCTTAAAGCCGGTTTTCTATTAGGCGGAATTTTGCGCGCGGAGCGGAATTTTTCTTAGTCTTTTCTAATTAGTTCCACCCGAGAAATCACAAGACAAAGAAAAATTCCGCTCTTGCGTGCAAAATTCCGCCTAGTGGAAAATCGGCTTAAGACCGTTTCTACAAGTGGTAAGAACTACATACATTACAGAAACTATAGTCAATCCAAATAACAAATAAGAAGATCTATTTATACAAGATATAGGAAAAGTTTTCATTCAACTTTCTCAGATTAGAGAAATAGTACTTTAATTAGGTGACAGCCATCCCAATTTCAAGGTATCTATTTCTTTCCATAAAACAGGAGGAAATATATTTCGAATAATAAGATTTCATCATATCTACTAATTATGTCTGTGACACTGTTCTGTGACAGTGGTGAATTTGTTTCTAAGAGTGGTTACAGGTGTAAAAGTTTCTTTTTGGTTGATGTAGGCTTCACACGAATTGGCAAAGTAGTGTTCATCTTCCACTTCCCCTGACTGGCAGATTTTACACACGAGTCGTTCTTCCCTTGGTGTTTTTTTTTAAGCGACCAAACTCTATCATTAAATTGTGGTTGCTCACTCGAAATCTTGTGAGTATTTTCCTAGTCGGGTGGATTATTTATTGTTAAAAAATATTTTTCTAGTCTGTTTTGAATGTATTGTAAAACTTTGGTTTGGAGGAATTTTCGAGTTTGTGTTTCCAAAAAGTAATATATTTTTGCTTTATGTAATTGTCATCGATAAAGCTTAGTGTTTGAATTGTGATTGATTCCAGGTCTGTTATTGGTGTGTTGCATTTATAGGATTTTAGAATAGCCATAATATTTCCGTAAAACGAGGTAAATTCTTTTGGAGTATAAATCTTTTGAGATAAGGAAAGCTTGTTTGCCAATTGTTTCTTCAGGTAGTGAGTTTAGATGAGTAATGTATTTGAATGTCGCCTATATATATTGATTATCAGTGGAAACTTTCCTAGTTCACCTCTGCAAGCAATATTTGTTGTTTTCCTCCCAACGCCAAGGTATAGTTTGCAAAATCTCAAGTGTGTTTTTTCAGTCGGAGAGTTATCCCAAATTGTTGAAGTGATTTCTGATATAAGCACCCCACACCTCTGAGTTGTATAAAAGAAAGTTTTGATCGTCGTCATCGTGTTGCCGTTCTACATGCTAAAGGTCCCGACTTTTATTCTTTACTCGTTGTGAAGGATTGCTAAACACACTCGTTTCCTGCGCTCACTCGCAGGATTCCCAATGAAGCTGGAACCCGGCAAATTTCCCCGGTTGTTTCTCCAGGTTATTTCCTTCTTTCCTTCGTTAAATGTTTTGAATAATATGACGAAATCTCCAAAACAACTCTCCAAAATGGCTGGAAATGCCAGAAGTCCAAATTTCAAAATGTCATCCGAGAGCCGCTCTACGACCCCCTAGGTGGGCGGTATCTTGAAAATGTTAAAGCTAAATCGTTAATTTTGAACCTTAATTTAAACTCCCTCAGCAAGAAACCACCTTAAAAAGCGCGCAAATTTCAAACAAAGTATTAAGTTTGCAGCCGTAATGTTCGAATCTTTTTGAAGTATTCGATATTCCAGATTATAAATATTTAGATTATTTGTTAATATGTAACAAACGTTGACATAATATACTTACTGGTTGTCATGCTCCAACATCACTGAAGCTTTCATAACATCTTTCTTATGAACGGGACCAACACTCACACTACAATACTAAAAATAATTATATATACATGTCATATACAGTATATACACTATCTTGCAAAAATTCGTATCTCCCATACCGTACATAAACCCTGATACAGACTATACACTGTATATATAGGTACTATTTAAAACACAATCAGGAGTGCTTTGATAAAGCACAAACTGCGAGTGTTTTAAATGAGTTCATTGGCCAAAAAATAAACGTTGTCCAAGCCGAGTATGAAAATGAAAATGAACATGATTTATTATGTAAACAAATACGATTTTAAGTCCAACAAGCATTTTTGACAATGCTAAAAATTTGCATAAAATGACCTATTAATTTAAGTTTGTATCTGCCATAGATATCTTATATACACTAGATAGCGCATCTCTTTTAGTAAAATTGAAGCTAAGAATATTCCAGCGGTTACCCCCATTTGAATAGATGGCGGCCATGTTGGTAGTTCCCACTCGCTAATAAACGCTTAAAAACAACAATAACTAATTTCATCATTTGAATAGTTTAAAAATGTATTCGGAATAGGTTTGACTTAATGTTTAAGTTCCCTGTTTAAGAAATAGAAAACATACGAACTTCTCATTTCATGGGAATATCCTGAGTCTGCAATCACGGCTTCAATTTTTGAATTGCAGAATAATTAGATGCACTATCTAGTGTATATAAGATATCTATATGGTATTTGCATATGGATAAGGTTAACTTGCCATATTGCTTTAGTTGTGGTCATGCAAATACAGCGTATTTGTTTCAATATTTCATCAACTGAAAAGCTTGTCATAAAGTACATTGCCTGGCAAGAAACATTCTGCATGTCACCAAAGAGTTTTGTTTTCGATAGTTTGTTAATGCGAAGGTTTCACGACGCGCGTTGTCTTATGTTTCTTAATATAGGCGATTGTCATTTGTATGTGCTTTAATCCCAAAGTTAAGAAATGTCAACAAAATTGTAAAGATTCTGGCTTGCGAGGTTGCAAAATTGTAAATTTAATGGGAAACAATTTGAAAATTAAGTCGGCTTCAATGAAATATCTAATAATCACGAACGAATGGCAACTGTACTGAAATTAGTTTAATAGGTTTTATGCAAATTTTTCAAAAATGCTTGTTCGATTAAAACATTGATATATACGTTAATATTGCATAAAAATCTTGCTGTAACATATCAAAATTTATGTTAGCCATTTCTGGATACGATAAATTTTATTTGATCGTGATAGCTGTTCTACCTTTTTTTGCTATATTATTAAATCGAACACCCGGTATACTTGTGAAATTTCGATTACTAATTCACGATGAAAACACAAAAGAAATCATGAACGTGAAGGAGACAAGGAGTTTGTATATCTAATATAATAATATACATAAAGATATTACTCGACTGTGATTGGTTGATTTCAGTGCAGTTAATCCCAAACAACAGCGCAATTTTCTTTGATCACAGTGCAATTTTCTGTAATCACAGTGCATTTTTTTGTAATCACAGTGCAAAAATCTGTAACAAACTGATCTGATTGGTGGAAAAACATTGTGATGATTAAATCAACCAATCAGTTTAAAGCAATTTAATTTAAAGAAGTAACGGTCACAGATTGCTTCAAAACAAAACGAACATGGCGCCGCGCTAGTCGCTACACAAAATAAAAGTTGCCTTTGCGTGGAAAATATGGCTTTTATCTTTATTTTTAAATGGAAAAGCATTTACCTTAAACAAGACTAACAAAAATTACATAGTTGAGTGGAATTTTCAAGCTGTTAGCGTTGTATAATGTGATATAACAAAGCCAGGAAAACTTTGCCGGTGGAATGTTCGCTATAAACGCGTAAGTTACTGAAACTACAATTGTCTCGAACATTTTTATGTAAATTATTAATAAGTAATAGCATGGTTTCTCGTGAAATTTGGATAAACATGCACTCGCGAGTTTTTCAAAGACCTCAAATAGCACTCGTCCTTCGGACTCGTGCTATTTTGAAAAACTCACTCGTGCATGTTATATCCAACTTGCACTCGAAAGCATGCTATTACCTATCTAAAATCATGCTGATTTACATAAACTTTAAGTTCAATTTTCTCACCAAATATCATTCATTTCTGTTAAATTGTTGAAGAATACGAATGTTCTCAACACATGTGCTTATATACTAGTGAATATAAAAGCATCAGGTGACAAATAAATAAGTCAATCAGATCGATGGATTTGGTCAAAACAAAAGTGTAAACAAATGTACATACCGGTATTTTCGACGTTTTCAAGAACTCCAAGAGAGCCTCAAGAGAACCGAGTGTCGAGGCTTGTACACAAACACCTTTTTCAGCAACTTTGATTGATTTCAACGTCTGTTGGACAATTCCGTTCACGTCTCTCTGAAAAAAAAAAACACATTAAAATATACTGATTAGTTGCCTTCGGCACTCTAAAATCGTGGCATTTTACCACACCATCACGCGAGGTTTGCTATTTCCACGCGAGATTTTCCATTTAACAAATTGCACATTTTAAAGGGAGAGGGCAATATAAATTTTTATTTTCTCATTTGAAAGAACTTTTGAAACTATATATTAACTTCTTTTACCGATTTTACCGAAACGAGTATTATATATATAGCCTTAGAAGTTCTTTCAAATGAGAAAATAAAAAAATATATTGCCATTTCCCTTTAAAAATGTCGCACGAATCGCGTCCTCGCGCGCGGGATGGTGCGGTAAAGTGACAAGATTTGCAGGATTTCTGATCAGGGTTTATGTTGATGATTCGAAACTGATTTGCATAATTGACGGATGCTAAAATCACAGTGCCACTTTTAAAGTAAAGTAAAGTAAAGTAAATATTGCATATACCTTAAGTACTTCAATTTCATCTTCTTCATAAGCAACAAACAATGGTGATCCTGCAAGTGCTTTATCCAATTCCTTTCCTGTTATTTTCACACCTTGGGCGGCTTCAATTTCTTTAAATTCTTTGTATTGATTCTTTACTCGTAGTTCCTTTAGCGGTTGCGGCATGAGTAGAGCTCGTATCTGGGTGATTATAGGACCATGTATACCTCCTAATACAATTGTTTGAGATTCTGCTAAACGACCATTGGTCAAAATTACATCAATCGTTGTTCCTAAGCCGGTTATAGCTTTCACCTACAAGAAAATGGAGTTCTTATTTCAAGACTAAGCCTGGTTCACACGATGAAATAAGCATAAGCATAAGCATAAGTATAAGCATAAGCATGCGGAACCTTTGATGTAAACATAAGAAGAACAAATAAATGTTGCGTTCTTCTTATGCTTACGTTTATGCACATCAAAGGTTCCGCTGCTTGTGCTTATGCTTATTTCATCGTGTGAACCAGGCTTAAGTTCGCACTACGCTGGAGCGAAATAATGTTCACACTGCACACCGTTACAATTTCGATATAAGGATTCGCAAAACGAGCTCAAATGGTGCAAAAATGTAAAAATAAAAAATAACAAAAAGATAATAAAAAAATGCTAAAGTAAAAAATAATAAAAAAATGCTAAAGTGGAACAATATAAAGACGATGCCGCTGTTCACGCGAAGTTGCCAACTGCTCCATTTTCATCCCGCTCAGTTGAGAAACCCTGTTCAACTTGTTACGACAAAAGTGACGTTTTCAAACAATTCGGCGTATAGTGTGAACGTTGTCTAAGAAATATGTATATATGATTTCATTTCATTGCAGATATTATGCAAACTGCAGTTCAGACAAACCTCAAGTACTGTGCACTGTAGTTCTTCTGAATATGACAATCTTTGTGCCAGTTTAGTTTGACAAAGTTTTACAATTAATGCTATCAGATCACCCATACCGTCCCCAGTGTGAGCTGATGTAGGAACCAGAGATATGTAAGTCTTGGTATCAACATTTTTATTAAATAATATCGCGTTTAATCCCTGGAAATAGAAAGTAAATGAGATTTGATTGATCGCATGATGGTTTGAACTGGGGTCAGAGTTTTGAGCTCCGGCTTCTGGTTGGATCACAAAAATAGCGATCTCTGAATGGCGGGAAAAAAAACTTGTAATCTGCCGTGCGTACTGATCATCCTCGTTCCTTCATAGACCCTGGAATACACGGAACCGGAAGTGCAAGAAAACTTGCAGTAGTTTCTAAAGCGCGTACTCTTGAATTGGGACGCTTTAGCACCAACGAAGTATTTGTGTTGACATGTTTTGATAGAAAAAGTTTCCCTAGCGAAAAATACTCAACTGCGAAATAGCAGTTCTCTGAGAAGTTCAATCAGATCTCTCCATTTTGTTGTCTAAACCAGAACCTAATTTTCAGCGAGTGACAGAGTGAAAATGGCTCTGGGGATGAGAATGCGTACTGATCAGTTGTTTGCAACTTTCCTGACGCTTGAAAAGAGCCTGGGTACGAGGTTGGGTATGTTTTAAAAAGAAATAAAACTCTGGAAGCAAATTCTAACCTCTTCTGCAAATTCTCCAATAATTTTATTCATTCTTTCTTCAAACTCTTGTTTGGTACTCCTCCCCTGTTTCTTTAATGTATCGACAATACTAGAGTTTGGACCTCGTTTCCACTCATATAAACGATCAACCTAAAACATCGAAAAGTTAACAAGATCCTCTATGGATCAGGTCGCTGGGCTGCCTGTAGGCTATAGATATGTTTATGTGTGTCTTGTATTGTCTACAATCGTGAATATTGCATAGCCGTAAAGGTAAAGGTGAATGGTTGACGTAACTATCAAACGTCAGAAAGTTCTCAAGGGTTACAGTTGCGGCAGAATGATCTCAGTTGGCAGTGATATTGTGTAGTGTTCCACGATGTTTTGGTGTAATCTGTACAATGTGCGCTCCAATTATCAGCATATCGTCTTCTTTCAACGATCCCACCAAAGACGCCCCCCCCCCCCTATATTTTATCGCTCAGCTTCGAGCGAGCGGAAGTAATATTTCGCATAATTAATGAGCTTCAGTTCTCTATCAAGTGTGACTATGGCATCAGCTCGATTTTCCATTGTGTGTCGGAAAAGTCACTACAAATCTCAGGCGAAAACTATAGTCGCTGGCTACGTCACAGGGCATAACGTTTCTGAGAAACCTCTAGTGGATTGGAGGAATCGCACCTGGCCCTCTAGTAGGAATCGCACCTGGCCCTCTAGTAGGAATCGCACCTGGCCCTCTAGTAGGAATCGAACCTGGCCCTCTAGCAGGAATCGCACCTGGCCCTCTAGCAGGAATCGCACCTGGTCCTCTAGTAGGAATCGCACCTGGCCCTCTAGTAGGAATCGCACCTGGCCCTCTAGTAGGAATCGCACCTGGCCCTCTAGTAGGAATCGCACCTGGCCCTCTAGTAGGAATCGCACCTGGCCCTCTAGTAGGAATCGCACCTGGCCCTCTAGTAGGAATCACACCTGGCCCTCTAGTAGGAATCGCACCTGGCCCTCTAGTAGGAATCGCACCTGGCCCTCTAGTAGGAATCGAACCTGGCCATTCTGGTGCAGCCCTCCAGAATGCCTTAGTTGCATTTTTCGCAACTGCTCCTGGTTAGGTCCAATCAATATAAAATTTACACATGAAATTAGTTATATCGCCGGTGTCTGACAACATCACATACAACTTTGCTCATATACAAAGAAAGGATAAACCAATACACATTATAAGCAACGTCGGAAGACTCAGAACCATATATTAGATGCACATTATCGTTAATGTGACAAAAATTCTTAACGTCCCTTGTTATATATTTTTTTCAATGTTGATTGTTAGTAGTCGTGATTATTTAGCGTGTGGCTTTTGACAGTTCATTGAATACAATCACGTTCTATTTGCAATCTGCATGCCCGACCATCAGGAAAACTCTAAGTTCTGCAAAACTTTAGTGTACTGAAGAATTATCGTTAAAAATAAGCAAATAAGCTGTACTGTATATGTAATTCATGTTGTAAAATGTTCTACATATAATGTGAAATACCTTATTTAAGGCGACGACAAAAGGCGTTTTCTTATTCCTCAGTAAATTTATAGACTCAATTGTCTGTGGTTCTAAGCCATGCATGATGTCAACAACAAGAATAGCCATATCACATAACGTTGAGCCACGTGATCGTAAGTTGCTAAAACAAAATATTTTAACAAGAACTATATATAGCAGCATCGTCGTGGTGAGGTTGGAAAAGGGATCGGTTTTCCCTCAAAATTGTAAATATATGGGTGGTTCGGACAGACTTACTGTAACATGTGGTTTGAACAGATTTAACATTTAACTTTATAAGTTAATTTAAACTGACTTCAAACACTCATTAATAATTCATAAGCTTATTGGCAAATCATGTCAATCATAATATATGTCACGTGAATTGACTTTATACCTGATAGAACTCATCTTCATTAGTATTCTTTTTATAAAAGTCCATCCTAATTCGTATTCTTTATATAAAGAATACTAATGAGACGGCATCTGTAGTTGTGTTTGAAGCTATTCAAAACACTTGTAGTCGTGTTTTATCAGATATAAAACGCTCGGCTGCGCCTCGTGTTTTATATCTGATAAAACACTCCTACGCGTGCTTTAAATAGTACTTAGAAAATATAATAAATACAAAAATAATGGGGTACGGTACTTCCTGGGTTATCCAATTAATACAGTAAATACTGTATTATGACTAAGAAAAGCGCCCATTGGTTCGTATGTTGATCATTAATTGTTGCATGCTCTAAGGGTGTTACATTCGCCTTGAAGATGATAATAAAAAATGCATTTAGAATCAAATCAACAAACCTGAAAGATTCATGACCAGGTGTGTCAATGATGAGCAAGGCGGGAATTTTCATGTCGTAGTCAACAAACTATATAAATTTTAAAATAAATAAATAGAAAATTTAGGAAATAGTGTCCTCAAGCAATAATACATAGACCTTGAATTTAGCCCTTGTTGCACATGTTCGGGTGCAAAAGAGAGAACCTTTAAGATAGAATCTGTTAAAAAGGTTGATTATTAGTCCATCAACTTTTCATTAGAGAGGTTCAGATTTGACTTCCACTATATAGCTACCGCGACCTCTCACTAGTTCGCATCTGATTGGTTAAACAGATATATATATATTTATAATATAGCATTTGTAAATTCTGAACGCTGATTGGCTAAGAGCCGTGTTGATATAACTCCATGTCAACATGGGAAATTTTCCGCCGCTTGTAACACGGAAATTGTTCTTATTCTTCGGGCTTTTGACATTGCTATGTTATAAAACAAATATAAAACATTTTTTCCGTACTGATATATAGTTATGTGAACACTCGTGGAAGTTGGGAAAACTCGAAATTGTGTGAAAACACTCCGCCCTTCGGGCGTCGTGTTTCCACACAATTTCTCGTTTTCCCAATTTCCACTCGTGTTGACATAACTGTATATCAACACGGAAAATGTTTTATATTTGTTAAATATCAAATGCATTTGATTGATTAAGAATTCATTAATTGTATGGCGGAAGTCAGCAGGCGGCTCCATTTACTGTTCGGAATACTCCGGATTTTTGGGATCGGACTGAAAACAGTCACATGACTGTTCTGGCTGCTCCTTCTTTTGAGTAAGCCAGAACAGTCATGTGACCGTGCTCGGTTCGATTCTATTTAGTGTTCCGAAAATCCGGAGTACTCCGAACAGTAACTGGAGCATCCTGTAAAACCGAACCTTTCCATTGATTATAATGAGTCAACAACGTGTTTGTCCTTTTCGCTATAGTAAACAATAGTGCTCTTCGAGTTATTTTAGAAAGTTAGTTAGTTAGTTAGAGTCTTTATTTCAAGAGGGTAGTACGTAATAGTACAAAAGCACTAATAAACTTGTAGCCCTCAGTCCTTACTCTTAGTCCTTACTCTTGTTATTTGATACGCGCGGAAGAGCAAAATACAGTATACTACCATTATGGAGCTTTGAAACGGTGGATTTATATTTATCATGTTTATCAAATGCCACAAACCATGTCGTAATCGAGAATGTATTAGAAAGGTTCAGATTTGACTTCCGCTACCACTCCTATTAAGCGATCACTAACCAATCAGATGCGTTTGGTATATTCGATTAACCAATCAGATGCGTTTGATATATTCGATTAACCAATCAGATGCGTTTGATATATCCGATTAACCAATCAGATGCGTCCCAAGTCAGTGAAGAGGTGGTGGAAGTTAAATTTGAACCACTCTATTAATCGCTACAGTACATTTTGTAGAGTCTGTTTAAAATTATTTTATACATACGTCTTTAATCATTTTTGTTTGTTGTCGAATAGCATCACTGGGGACGTTAGTTGCTCCAATCTGTTGCGTAATACCTCCCGCTTCGCCATCTTGAACATGGGAGTGACGAATCTAAACATCAAGCCACAACGTCCACGTTAAAAGTATACACAGTCTAACAGTTTAGATACAGTATTCAGTATATTCAGTGTATTAACCTATAGTATTTCATAATGCTCTACTTTTTTCTCCGCTAGAATAAGCAATGGGAATAAACGTTGGTCAGCGTGGTCTGGCCGAGACCGGAATGGTGGAGTCCGACCCAAACGAATTGAGGGGGGTACTCTGGCTGGGCTGTTCTCCACCACACACAAGACCGTGCACGTGACATACTTATAGTACGTATATATATAGTGTATTGCTACACACATCATTAAAAAGTTGATTGGAACTAACCTTATCTAATATTTTAGTTTTTCCAGTATCCACATGACCCATGACACATATCACAGGTGATCGTAATTTCTCTTTTGATCGCCCTGCCTCAGCTTTTTCTCTTCGTTTCTGAGAAAATTAAAGTTTTCCTATAGCATTAGCTCTATGATAAACACCTGTATGGGCTTACCGATTTGCAAAAATAAAGCCTGGTTCACATTAGAGATTTTCAACTGATTTTGTCGGGGACTTTCTCCTCCTGACGGATGTGAATAAGTGAACTCGCACAAAAGTTTATAAAATCCCTTTTCGGAAGAATATACTTCCCTGATATTTCTAAGTCTTTCGCGTGACACTCATCCAATCACATCCGCCAGGAAGAGAAAATTGCCGAGGTGCAATATGCAAGCAAATATGCAAGTAAATTACATGTAATACCTTTATTCTGGCTTCAGCTCGCAGAAATTCTCTTTCCTCTTTAGACAATGATTCATCTTCTTCTGATTCATCGTCAGTTTCACTTTCTGTTTCTTCATCAGATTCACTTTCTTCTCCACTTTCATCTCCACTTGTTTCCTCCTCTTCATCTTCGCCAACCTCTTCAGCTCTAGCTTCCTAATAAAATCAGAAATTATATTTTTTCCAAAATGTTCGTGTCATTCAAGAAATCATAATACCTCTGAACCTTTTATTGGTGATCAAGTTATCAATCTTACTTCGTTTATGTTTACCAAAAGATTACATAAAAACAAACCTGTTTTGTTTCAGTTGTTGCATTATCTGTAACAAAAGATCAACAACTAAGCTTTTTGCTGTACTTAACAGTATTATAATTGTATGGTATACCATCTATTATGATTTTAGTTTTTTTCCACTGCATGCAAGCCATACTGACGTAACTTCACTTGCCTGCTTACTCGAGCCACTTAAAGTACATCTACATGGATGTATAAAACATCTCTATATGGGTATTGTACTGTAAAGGACCGGTCATTATTTATGGTGGGATGGCACCGAAGAGAAATGTTTTTCCTGGCAAAAATTTTACTCACCCAACCATTAAAAAGTCAAAAATTTGATTACCCAACCTCAGATATCAATTAAAAAATAAATACCAACCCCTGGCCAAAACCTTTACAAAAGGATACCATTCAGTTGTCACACATGTCCTTTACCATTTCTGTGACACGAGTTTGATAACGGATTGTGCAATTTTCTGCAGTCTAAAGTTTCATGTTGTCTGCACATGTACTTTCTTTGGAGACACCATTTGTCTCCCAACAAATCGGAAAATGATCAAGAAAGTGACTCTGATTGATTCACATATTGTATTGACATAAGTCGACTGTTGACATTGCTTTTCAGTCTCCAATATTTAAGTGAGTCATGCTTTGGAAATGAGAATAATTTTTTATTACCCAACCCTTGAGTTGTTTTGTTTTTTATTTACCCAACCTTTTACTTACTCAAAATTTAGTTTACCCAACCCTTTTCTCTTCGGTGCCCCCGCCTTAAATAATGATCGGTCCCTAATAAAACAATGAATCACCTCCATCGCTCTCTTCTTGATCCTCCCAAGTATCTTTTACATCACCTTCTTCATCGCCCGCCACAGCCTGAAACATAAGATAATGTACCAATGGAATTATGACATGTCACAGTGCGCATTCCTCTGACACGGTCAAGACTGTCAAATTGTTAAATGAAATACAACATTTGTAAGGTTGGTACTGGTCTGACCGAAAATTTTGTAAATAATTACACTAGGAGGTCTATTTTGGCAGATTTTTAAAACACTTCGCCTTACCATTAAATGGTACCGCCCTATTTCATTCGTAACGTATAGTAATAATATGTAGTACATATCTTCTCATGCTTGTGTGATGTTACTCTGAGTGTATATCCGCACCAGGCAGGCTTGAAAAATATGCCTGGCCATGGTGGGAATCGAACCTACGACCTTTGGAATACTAGCCCAATGCTCTGCCAACTGAGCACCAACACAGCAAATATCTTCTCCTACCATACCATACCATACCATACCATACCATACCATACCATACCATACCATATCATACCATACCTACCAAACCACAGCATACTATACTATAGTATACCATAGCAATCGTCCATACTAATACCATAACCATACCATACCGTTATTACCGTTTCTGATCCTACAGGACTGTTTAACAACTGAGCTTCCGGCCTTTCCTGTTGTTGTAAACTTGCACTAACATTGACATTAGCCACTGGCAACATGTTTGTTTTAAGATAATAATAATCACAGGAAATACACGGCCTGAAACGCAGGGAAGTTTACCACCAAAGGGCGAACAAGCGAAGCTCGATAGCACAGTCACACACAACAATATATAACAAATAAATTATCTTTACCTTATCTTCAATGTTTTCTGCTGTTTCTTTGTTCTCATCTTTTGCCTCTGTTGCAATGTCTTCTAAAATATACGGTATACATACACGAGCTTTTAAAATATAAATAGTCATTTGATAGCGCGGTTTTATCGGCTCATGTCATTACTTTTTAAATGTAGATGTAGTTTTTTCTTTACTTCACATTTCTATTACCATAAGTGCATTAAGGCGGATTTCCAGTCCTCGCACGAAGCTCCTCGCAGCTCGCTGCGAGTGATGCATGAGAACTTTCATCCAACCACAATGCTAAACAGTTCATTTGTGCGAGGACTGGAAAACCGCCTTTAATTATACTTTTCATGAACGGGAGATCACTGAGTCTGCAAACAGTATAGATAGTCACAATATAATCTTGCATGGTCTGTGCCAGTGCAGGTAGTGCCAATAATAAGAAAGTTTCGGATTGATATAGGACTACCTGCATGGTAGTTGCCTGGTATAGTTGCGTCCCTATCAATCCGAAACATTCTGCAATAATCACAATATGTTGCTTTCATTGGGGGAAACAACGCACTAACTATCAATCAATCAATCAAAGACTGGAATGATTTAGACAGTGATACAAGGAATGCTCCAACACTAGTGTCTTTTAAGAGAAATCTTTTTTCTAAACTTTTAACCTAAAGCCTGCTTAGAACATCGTGACTTACAGTTTTAGACTTTTGACTTTTAACTAGTTTTAGATTTTTATAATTGCATGATTATTTGTATATATAATGTTCCCTATGTGTAGGACCTTTGTGAAAATCACGTCATATGTGACAAAGCTTTCCTCATTAAAGATTATTATATATTCATTCGATCATTATAATTTCTTGTTTTAATCTAAAACCATTTGGCATGAATTACTGCATGCACCAGACATGTCGAGTGCTGACTCATCCGCATTCATCTCTACTTAAAATATACGAGATTTTCAGGCGAAGTGGAATTTGAAATAACGCTGAAGAAAGGAGATTCATGGCAAGTGACAGAAAGTACACTAGGGGAAAGATGGGGAAAGAATAGAGCAAGAACGAGAGGAGTCCTGTACCGAAAGTTTGGTTTACTACTCAACTGCGTACTTTCGGGATGCTGAACGGAATTGAAACGCACACATGACAGTTTAAGACCAATTTGCTAACTAAATTTCATCCGTTTATCAACAAACTACGTTTTTGTGTACAGATAACCGTTTTATACCGACCGATTCCTTCAATGTTTGGGGGTTGTCTAGGCTAGATTCCAGCCGTTGGGTTAACTCTTCGCTCGGTATATCCCAGTTTTCTCCAGTATTATGATAACCAGTTTAAGTTATTTTACCTGTTTGCTCAGATTGAACATCTGTAGTTGTATCTTCACTCTTATCTTGAAATTGTTTTTGTTTCTTTTTGTAACCATAACGAACTGGCTTCTTTACATCAGAACCACTACGATTTGGAATTTCAATTCCTAGAAATAATTAATAATTAGAATATATTAACCACATGTTGTTACATATATAGTCTTACGTTGAAAGTTCTAATTATGATCAAGTTTGCCAAACTCTCAAGGCAAAGACGTCCAATATCAAACTATTACGCACCTTGTGCACGCATCGCCTGTAATTGTGCCTCAGCTTGAGCTTTCTTCTGCTTCTGAGCTGGAGTCAGAAATTTCCCTTCTTGTTTTAATCTTTGCTTTCGTTCCTGATAAAATAATACGATTATATTAGTTACTGAATCACTGTCACATACACATTTGATCAAAGAAATTTTGTGTGTAAACCAGCACTTTGTAAAGCGGGTCATCCGCATGCCACAAACACTTTTTTCAACCGTAATCACACTTTTCTAGTGAAACAACAGACTAGAACTACGTCGCTGCGATGAAATGAGAAACATTCTGCCACTAACCCTGCGAATATAATTTTTGGTATGTGTAATATTTGGGTCATTCCGAGAACAAATATAACATATCTAAACAGTAAACAACCTGATCAACGTTTCACTGTCAAAGCTGTCTGATACGAGATATAATCAGCCGAAGTTCGTTTGCTTTTGTTTTTTTTGCTGCTATAAAATCGTATGTCATTTGACAGTTCATCTAGATGACCTTTTTTACTGTCAAATGTCATTCGATTAATATGTTATATTAAGATATTATATTTCTTCAGGGACCGCGGAGCAGGAGGGGACGCCACTCCCCCCCCCCACACACACACTTTGTCGGTGGATAAAGAATAATTACCGGATAAAATCCAGCCTGCCAGCGTGCATAGATCCCGTGCTATCCTGCCCCCTCCCCACTCTTAAACGGGCTCCGCGGTCCCTGTTCTTCCCGGAGTGACTCAAGTATTACACATGTACTAAAAATCACGGTGGCAATTCAGAAGCCCAATTCGCATGCAATATTCTTTTCATTACATATAAATGCTTCTCTTGATTCAACTTAAATCACCTTTTCTTTTTGTCTCTGTCTTTCTTTGCGCTCTTTTTCCTGTTGTTCCTGAAAAGAACAGATATAGAAATTCAATTTTTAATTTTTAAATATGTTGCATGGTGGCGGCAATAGTTGAACATACAATTAAACAAAATGCCAGAATTGTTTTCAGGTAACAAGTTGAAAATCTTTGGTTCAATAGCTCGGAAAATTATTACTTTAACTAAAACAACAAACATGTGTCAATTCAGCGTTAAATCAGTCCTTAATTGTGATACAAACATTAAACAACTTTTTTCGTAACGTATACTGTAGACCCTATAGAGGTTTTAGGCATGATTCCTTTAACCAATGCAGCCCAACAATTAAAAGGCACATGAATGAATATACACACAGTCAAATGGAACTTCATATACATAGGCAAGTTTCATTGAGTACTGTCCAGAAGTAGATAGTGGCAACCGTTGGTTATCATATTGGTAAACTGCAGGGTGTTAGCCAGAAGTAAAAAAAACCGCGTTTACCTGAAATTGGGAAATTTATTTTAGCCTGAAGCCGGGCATTTCTTTGTGGGTCTGGGGGCATTTGGTTTGCCACGCGATTTTTAAAATTTTTGTGTCTTTGAAATGGCATTTCCCGCATTTTGGGAGTAATTTTGAGCAAATGTAGTTATAAACATGTTTTTAATGGCGTATTAACAACGTATTGACGGCAACGGCATATACGGTACTGGTCTATTATCAGTTGTCGATGACTCGATGTGAAAAAAATCATTGAATTTCTATAACTATTTTTTGGCTGACCCAAATTGGGAAATTGCGACCTCAAGGTAATTGGGAAAACCGCGTTTAACGTGGAATTTTTGACTGTAGCTACCACCCTGAACTGTTTCTGCTATTTTTTATATATGTAGTAGTTCTGTATATATGGTGGAACTTTGTTTAATTTGCTTGCTTCTATGTTAAGTATAATTCACTACCTGCGGGCTCGTAAAAGTTAGTGAACAAAGGAAAGGGCGTAAATTGCCGGAGAAAAGAAATCCTAATCATACACATGCATCTGAATCATACACACTGCTAAAAGTTGCAAAAAATAATATACCTTCTCCAGACGAAGATTTTCAGCTTCTTCAAGCTCCTTTTTTTTAGCTTCTTCTTCTTGCCTCAATCTTTCTTGTTCCTGTTTGGCTTTCTCAAGAGCTTCTTGCATCTGCTTGATCATCCCCCTGGCTGGCTTCTTTGTCTTTGGTGCTTCCTCTTCTTTTACTTTCTTTTTCTTCTTCTTCTTTTTCTTTTTATCATCTCCTTCTTCTTCTTGTTCATTTTCTTTCACTTCTGATGTTCCTTCCTCTTGTTCATTTTCTTTCATTCCCGATGTTCCTTCGCCTGATTCTTCCTCTGTCTTCTCAACTTTCTGAGGTTTCTCACTTTCCTGAGTGTCTTATAAAAAATAACTAACAATAAGTATTTTACCCAGTGTTTATTATTAACACGTGAACAAGAGGGTAAAAGTACGACATGAATTACCTGAACCCTTTGCATATACACCTTTCACGAAAATTTGTTTAACATGGTTACAAAAGACTAATAAACATTTGTTCAACAAAGACTGTTATTTAAAACAATCTCAAAATTTGTCACAGTGCAGAAATTGTGACGAATGCGAATAATTAACTGTAATAGGAAGAAAGTACTTGACCGTTGTATATTCTTCAACAGGCCATTAAAATCCGGTCCCCCCCCCCCTCAAAATTGCTGCCTGAATGCAGGAAATGTTATCCCATAGAGACAAAATAAAAAACGTTCAGGCGTGGGGGTTTTTGATGGGAATAAGAGAGTGCTCCCTTGCTAAAACTCAATCCTCTTCCGAAAAAGAAAGGCAGTAGACGTTTTAAAATGCTTGTAGAAATCCCTGATAAACGTTTCCAAGTTTTCTCCGTATCTTCATTACAGAATTACAGTTTATAAATACTCAAGTAAGACTAATGATATTCAACCGATATTTTTGATGAGAAAATTTGTTTACACACAGAATCTGTGCTAATCAGACAAGTGTTTCTGTACTCTATTTTTCAATCAAATTAAACTACAGTACTAACCTACAGTTTTCTGATTTTCACTCAAATGAGATGCTTCTAAATTTTCAGAGTCCTCAACTTTCTCTGTTGTTACTCTTTCAGTTTTTGTTTCTTTTGTTTTCTTTTTCTGAGCTTCTTTCTTTTTCTTCTCTCGTTCTTTCTTTTCTGCTCGTTTTTGTGCTGCTGTTTTTACTTTTAATTCTCCTTCTTCTTTCTCTCCCTCCTCGTCTTCTTCATTCTTTGCTTTATTTTTCTTTCCCTTCCTTTTTTCTTTCTTGAAATTAAGTTCATCCTCCTCATCATCAGAGTTTAACTTTACTTCCTGCCCAGTGTCGACAATGCCACTGTTTTCAGTAGTACTAACAACATTATTATCATTGCTTGGTTCATTTTCTAAATCTTGGTCTTCTTGGTTCGTTTTCTTTTCCGGTTTTCCTTTCTTTGTCTTTCTTTCTTTCTTTTGTTGTTCAACTTCTCCACCGTCTTCATCAATGTCCTCCACATCAAGCAATCCAAAACTGGATTTTGAACCAACATTGTCGTTTGCTTCATCTTCTTCATCTGAAGCAACAACTCCTTTTCCTTTTTTACCTTTTTTCTTCTTCTTGCTTTTCTCATTATCATTACCAACTTCATTCTAGAGAAAGTTGTATTAAGAGGAGTTTTTTGTATGTTGCGTATCACGCGCTCAAAACTAACGAGTATAATATACCACTTGCATGCGATTAGGACTACAGTACATTCAAAATTTTTATTTTTCGAAATTAAAATTAAAAAGTATGTTTAGTGCTTTATCTGCAAAATAATGTTAAAATAAAGAGATTTTAGCACCAAAGATAAAATGATGTTTGAAGTTCAGTCAGTTAGGATGAGGCGGTTTTTCGGTAAAACGAAAAAATCCTGAATGTTTTTTGAAAACCGAAATACTCGATGTTACTTTTGGAGAAAAACCGGAAAAACCCCGAAAAAAAACCCGGGGGAAAACGAAGAAAAATTTGTATTTTACTAAAATCTAACCATACTTATACGAGTTTTTGCAAATGAATCAAGTTTTGGCATTTACAGACGAGAAACTAAAGAGATTTTGTTTGAAATTTGATAACGTCTTCAAAAACCTTACGTTTAATATCTTGCGTGACTACTGCATGAGTAGCGTGTTGTGTCTTTTTTACCGCAGTTTCGATTTTCAAACGTATTTAAAAAAAAACAAAACGGTTCATTCGTTTTTTTCGGGTTTTTTGGTCGGTTTTCGTTTTTTTTGTAGAAATACAGTCAGTTTTGCTTATATTGCTGTAAATATAGCGTCAGTTTTAAAGCATCATTGATAATTGATATTTTATGTTTCTCAACTGGCAAATGCATTTAAAAAGGTAGTAGCTACACTGTACCTGCATAAACTAGCGAACAAAGCTAAAACAAAGCAATTTTGAGAGGTACTGTACGCCAAAAAGATTTTCGGTTTTGAACATTTTTATTTCAAATTCGGCTTAATTCGCGACATGAAAAAAACTGCCTCTTAAATATTAAAATCCTGATAATATGTACTCGTGCACTGCTAATTTTAAATCATAGCATTTCGTAACTACCAATACAGCGAAGCCTCAACTTAAACACAACACTGCGTGATTTGGTACTGTAAAACATAATAATTTTTGGATTCTGGCAAGATGCAGAATTTCCCAAATATTGCGGGAACATCTTATGTTTGTTTCAAACAAAATAGGAAGATTTTATCATGGGAGATCGCATTACAGTGTAACGAGGCAAAGCGTTTGAAATGGTTTTGCAACGGAGAAGTGTCTGTATGTAGTACTCTGCACTTAATGTCATGTCTTATAACAGCACAGTATACTTTTCATAAATCAGCAGGCTGGCTAACGCCACTGAACCAGAATAGTGCCAGAGTGATGTACCTTGTCACCTGTATCATCTTCGGCATCTTTCAATTTCATTTGTTCTATTTCATTTGCAACTTCATCTTCCCTGGAAATATTACTACTTCATTAGTATTACTGGAACGAATATACACATTCAAGACAAGTATTGGCTTATTAATGGGCATATTAAGCCCCTTCATAATCATCAGGGGCTTCGGAGGCATAATCATCACAGCAAGTACCTTTCACCTCTGAGATTGTAGGTTCGACTCTCACATCCGACTATTATGACAGTTGTGTGAAAAGAGTTCGACAAGTCAACATTCTACTGAAAGTCGTGGGTGTTCTCCAGGAACTCCAGTTTCCTCCCACAGGGAATGTTGACAGGGTGGGTTGGGATTATCCCCCTGACTGACCCTTCCAATCCACCCTAGCTGTGCTCCGTGATCAGACATGAGTCATTATAAGGTGGTTGCCAGAGCCACCCTTGGTACTGTAAGTTTTCGACTGGATCAGGTTGAGCTGCATCCCTCGTAATTCAGTTTAGCTCTCAGCTGCAAGTAAGGATATTTGCACACCCCACTTACTTACTTACTTTATTATTAGCATGACAAAATTACTGGATGCTGACTAGTTGAGAGGAGTACAATTATTTCATTAATTGTACTGCAGTACAATTAATGATTTTCCCAAAACAAACAAAATGGCGGAAACGTATTTTAAACTCAAGCGTGAAATGAAATTGCCGTGGAGGAACTAGATGAAAATACGAACAAAATCACCAAATTTTGCTTTAACAAAAGAACTAAATGAAAATACAAACAAAAACACCAAATTTTGGTTGAAAGTCTGGCGGGACTGGGCTTTGGCGAGAGAATATGATGCTGACATTGAGAAGTACGTATCCAATTTTGTCATGTTAATAATAAACAAGTAATCATGCGATGTTGCTCGTACAATTAGGGATTAATTTGGCAAAATTTCCAAACATCACTCGTACTATTAATCCCTAATTGTACTCGCCATCGCATGATTACCTATACTAATGCTTGCATTTCTCCACTACTTGCAGACTTCAAAATTATATAACCATGCATCAAAGATTCACTTACTACTATGACAAGTAAAATTGGGGCAAGAATATTTGCGACCTAAATTTGTATTTCCAATGTTTTGCATTGTTCGTCAATATAATTAAAAATAATACCAGTCATCACTGTCTCTCTTCCTCCCTTTCTTTTTATCTTTCTTCTGAGGCATATTTAAACCATTTATTTAGCCTAGTGCAGACGGTGACCTGAAATACAAACATAATTCAGAGTACAGTAAACTCGAAAAAGGAAAAATGTGGATTTCAGGTTTTATACATTTATTACACTTAACCAGGAGCAGTTAATGTACACAGTAATTGGGTACCCGCTGTTGAGGTGTCCCTGCCACTTTTTCATAATTGTACTTTTTAATTTTATTTTAGTAACTTTATATGTATGTTGTCTTGTAATCTTGTGCTTATTGTGTTTGGCAAAGCTAATAAATTCAAATTAGGCATAGGCACACAGGGCTGATGCTTTTCTTTGGGGGCAGTTGGAAGTTTGCCCGAATTTTTATGGAGGATCGTAATGAAATAACCTGATTTTAATGTATTTTCTGATAAATCTGCCAAAATGTTCTTGATTTTTCCTCGCATTTGTCCGAATCCCAACAGAACTACAGAGTAGAGATGTGCAAATCCGATCCAAAACCAATCCAAATATGATCGGATTTTGGCACCATATAATATTCACTCGGAAAAGTATTTTCATAGTCGGATTGGACTTCGATTACCAGGGCTGCTGTTAGAACTAAAGGCGTACAGCGCTGCTGTTTAATAATTTTCCCATTTTTTTATTTCTAATTGTGACTATTTGTAAAGAATAAAAGATTAGTTCTTTTGACATGAGATTGTTAATTGGCTTTCGTAAAGACTATAGAGTCTATATGAGGCCAGTTGAGGTGCACTAACACAACTTCATATATATATATACAGTATATAAATATATATACTGTATATATATATATAGATAGAGAGAGGATATTACATGGCGGCATGAATATATAACTATTATCTTTGAATGATGAAAACAATATTTTACAAACGAGCGCAGCGAGTGAGTAAAATATTGTTTTTTACACTCAAAGATAAAAGTCATATCTTCAAGCCACCGGGTAAAAAAATTGCAAAATTTCACGCACAAAAGCAAATTGGAAAAAGTCACATGATCGATATCTTCACTAGTGAAGATATGTGAAATATCTCACTGTGTATTTTTCAGTATCTCACTCTCTACTATAAAATATATAATACTAAGCTGATGCCATTGATGTAAGTTGTATGGGTAAATATCAGGATTTTGGGTATATCTCTGCATCTCACTTGATAGAACTAATTGTTGAAGGGATTATTTGTAGACAGAAATTTCAAGTGCAAATTTTATACATTTATTGGACCTCACCAGGAGCAGTTGCAAAAAATGCAACTACTGAGCCGCAATGCGCCCCACTTTTTTAACTTGTCTAACGCCAGACAATTTTACTCATCAACGGGGAAGCTCTGCAGCTTAATGGGTTAACCAAAATATCTGACAATGGTGTTGACATTCAAGCATTACGTCATTATGTAATGTTGAACTATAATTAGGATTACATGAAGTTCTCAGTTATTGTTATTGTGCTTGGACACTTTTATTCACTTCGAAATGTGACTGTGATTCTATTCATATTGTACAACAGAAATGATATAACTTTACTTATTATTTTCCGATCAATAAATATAAATATCAACAGGTTATGGGCCCAGGACATTTCACAATGTGCCTGAAGCGATTAAAATATTGTGATGTATCTATTTGAAGACGGATTAACTTGAACGCATTCAAAATGGCGAAAATGGCGTTAACGACAGATTTTAAAATTCCGAAGCTAAATGGAGCAAACTATCGTGACTGGACATTTAACATGCGCCTATATCTCGAGAGCCTAGATTTATTTGGGCATGCTGATGGTTCTGTTGAAGTTCCCGCTGAAGACGCGTCTGAACAGGTAAAGCAACAATTTAAGTCTGCTTCGAAAAAGGCCTGGACGTATATTTGTTTGGCTGTAGAGACTGATCAACAAATTCATGTAAGGAACACGAACACAGCAAAGGAGGTTTGGGATGCCCTGAAGAGTCAGTTTCCTAGAACTTCGATATCTCAGATTGTAAGATTACGCCAAAAGTATTATTCAAGTAAATTTCAAAATGGTGGAAATATGCTAGAGCACATAAATCACGTGAAGTCCCTTCATGACCAGCTAAAGGAAATGGGTGCAAATATTGATGACGGAGAACTAGCTATGACCTTGCTCGCGAGTTTACCGGATGAATTTAAGCCACTCATTACCGCGTTAGATGCTGTTGGAGAGGAGAAAATCACTTTTGAAAAGGTGAAAGCCATGTTGTTAAATGATGCTGACAGAATTACTGATTCGAAGAAAATGGAAGATGCATATTCTGCTCAACGATGGAACAATAGAAGAAGATACGAGTCGAAAGAGCGAAATGACAAGAGGAGTGAAGTTAAATTTGGTCGGAAATTCCAAGGAACCTGTCATTACTGTAAAGAGAAAGGACACTTTGCTCGAGACTGTCCTAAACGAATTAAGAATTCACAAAGAGATGGTAATCAAAGTAAAGAGTTAGATAAGAACTTGCTGTCAGTCCATGCAATGGAGAAACGTGATGCAACTGTTACTTTCAAAGAAAACAAGTGTGAAATTTCTCGGAATTCGAAGATTTTAGCTGCGGGAGAGATCCAAGGAAAGTTATATGTCTTGAATATTGTGAAAGAGCATGTGAACATTGCCAATCAACAACCTGATACAGATCGGTATTTGTGGCACTGTAGACTTGGCCATCTGGGAATGAACAATGTGAACAAACTTATTAACGAAAATATGGTAAGTGGAATGGACGGTGTAAGCAATACGAATGAAAATCAATTCTGTGAAGCATGTATCAAGGGGAAGTATCATCGCTGTCCTTATCCGAAGACTGCTGATTATCGTGCTAGTGAACCATTCGAACATGTCTATAGCGACGTCTGTGGTCCAATGTCTGTACCTTCTCTTGGTGGATCAAGATATTATGTAAGCTTCATCGACGACTACTCGCGCTATACATTTGTATATTTCATGAAGAACAAGAGCGAAGTCTTGGAAAAGTTCAAAGAGTTCCACACCTTTGCTACGAATATCACTGGAAAGCCAATCAAGGTTCTACGTTCTGATAACGGAGGAGAGTATTCATCGAAAGAATTCGAATCTTTCCTGAAGAAGAATGGTATCGTTCATCAATTAAGCGTACCATACAACCCAGCGCAGAATGGTGTAGCGGAAAGAATGAACCGAACGGTCGTAGAAACAACCCGATCCATGTTGTCCCATGCACATATTCCAAACGAATTCTGGGCTGAAGCAGTCAATACCTCAGTTTACGTGCGAAATCGCAGCCCAACGAAAGCTTTAAATGATATCACTCCGTACGAATGCTTGTTTGAAAAGAAACCTGATGTGTCCAATTTACGCGTATTCGGATGTATTACGTACATGCATATCCCTGACAATCAAAGAAAGAAACTGGACGCAAAATCTAGAAAGTCAATTTTCATGGGGTATCCAGAAGGTGTGAAAGGATATAAGTTATATGATCCTGTTTCTCGTAAATTCCTTCGCAGTCGTGATGTCATATTTCTGGAGAAGAAATTTCATGACTTTGATATTCAAACTTCATCAAATTTTGATGATCGCGCAGAGGATGATATTCCGATAATGATCGAAGAAACTCCTGTTGACGGAAATGAAAATCAAGATGAAATTGCTAATCAAAGAGTTGCAGAGAATGCTGAAGGAAACCAGCAAGCCAATGACCAGCCAGTGGGAGGAACCTTTGAAGAGACGTTTATGAATGAAGTTCGTAACGTTGGTGAACGCAGAATGAGAAGACCACCCAATAGATTTGATGAGGAATGCTACTTAGCGAACGATATAACAGCAGATATTAACGAGCCAATTAATATGGATGAAGCCTTCTCTGGAGAACATTCAGCAGAATGGAAACAAGCTACTGACTCAGAGTATAATTCGCTTATTGAAAACGAAACCTGGGAACTTGTTTCATTACCCAAAGGCAAGAACGTTGTCGGCAGCAAATGGGTTTTTAAGGTGAAGAGAGATGAAAACGGCTGTGTACAAAGATATAAAGCTCGACTAGTGGCCCAAGGCTACACCCAAGCCGAAGGAGTCGACTACTCTGAAGTATTTTCGCCCGTGGTACGGAATACAACGATTCGATCATTACTCGCCCTGTCAAATGCTAAGAATTGGGAAGTCCACCAAATGGATGTCAAAACAGCCTTCTTACAAGGAAACCTAGAAGAAATATATATGCGACAACCAGACGGTTATGTTAACAAAGAACTTCCAAATCATGTCTGCAAACTTAAGAAGAGCATATATGGGTTAAAACAATCCGCAAGATGCTGGAACAATGCTATCGACACATTCCTAAAGTCAAGTGGATACAAGCAAATGGAGTCTGATCCATGTTTGTATATGAAGTCTATCAGAGATCAAAATGGAGTTATCATTCTATCGATTCACGTTGACGATATCCTGTTATTCTCCAATGATTCATGCATGTTAAGTGAAGAAAAGAAACTTATCGGCTTGAAGTTCAAGGTTGACGATATGGGTGAAGTGAAACACGTTCTTGGAATGGTGATTAGAAGAGATAGGAGAAAAGGAAAGATGATGATCAGTCAATCCACATATTTGCAAGGCATTTTAAAACGCTTTGGCATGGAACAATGCAAACCTGTCTCAACTCCTCTAGAGCCTGGAAAACATTTCCAAGAATCACCAGATGACAAGAATCACCAGATGACGAGAATCCTACCAATACTAATGAGTATCAAAAGCTTATAGGATGCCTAACATATGTGACGACGGCAACTCAACCAGATTTAGCCTCAGCTGTTGGCATATTATCGAAGTTCATGTCGAAACCTAGTAAAGAACATTGGCACGGTGCAAAAAGAGTCCTGAGGTACATCAAGGGTACTGTTAACTACGGTCTGGTGTTTGAAGGCATTAACGCACAAAATGTTCATTAATTGGTTACTCAGATGCTGGTTGGGCAAATGAGAAGATACGAGAAGATCAACATCTGGATATGTTTTTCAGATCAATGGATCAACAGTGAGCTGGTGCAGCAAAAGACAGCCCTGTGTAACAAGATCAACTACAGAAGCTGAATATGTGGCCCTCAGTCATGCAACACAAGAAATCGTGTGGCTGAGAAGATTACTCAACGATATCGGAGAAAAACAAGATCAACCATCCATTATGAATGAAGATAATCAGGGAGCCATTGAGCTAGTATCCAACAATCCACGATTCCACAATCGTACGAAGCACATAGACGTGGCATATCATTTTGTTCGCGAAAAAGTCGGTGACAAATCCATCAATGTGAATTACTGCAGTACAGATAAAATGTTAGCTGATGTTATGAGGAAGAGTTTACCAAGACAAACTTTTCAGAAGTTTAGAGACATGTTGAATGTTAAAGAGATCTTAGTTTAAAGAAAGACAAAGAACAATTGTTCATATTTTAAGAGTTATAATACTAATTATAGTATACATTAAGTGGAAGTGTTGACATTCAAGCATTACGTCATTATGTAATGTTGAACTATAATTAGGATTACATGAAGTTCTCAGTTATTGTTATTGTGCTTGGACACTTTTATTCACTTCGAAATGTGACTGTGATTCTATTCATATTGTACAACAGAAATTATGTAACTTAACTTATTATTTTCCGATCAATAAATATAAATATCAACAATATTTTGATACAATTAGCATGAAAAAGGACAAGAAAGACCACAAAAATGTGGGAAAAGCCACAATTGTAATTATGACCTATAGTCCTAACCACCCGCCCGCCCGCGTCGTAAATGAAGGTAAGGCCGGACCAGAAACTAAAGATTAACTTGTAGTGGCCTTACACTGATTTTATTGAAATACTGATCTTGCCTGCTTCCACTTTTAAATATAAAATTTCCTTGAAAATTCCGGAGTTTTGACTGCCGGAGCTAAAATAATGTTATAGAGTTTGCACAGCTCTAAGTTTTTCCTTGTTGCTTATCTGACCTCCCCCACTCCAATACCTTGACGGATTTGAACTTTTCATGGAAACACTTTTGAAGACCTGCGCCAACCCCCCATCACATTTTTTGAGAAAAAAATGGGGCAGCAGGTAGCTTTTTAGTTCATTTTTTATTTCTTTGTTACTAGTACATGCTAAGCTTATTTTGCTTTTAAAAAGTGATTCATAAAAACTGTTATCAATTTCATACACTTCATTTGTGCATTCAAAACAAAACTTTGTGCACTCTACATCACTTCCTTGTGCAGTTTAGTCTGTACATATAATATTTTCATTTCTATGCCTAAATGTGAGACCTTGGGCTTTGCTAGCATGGTGTTGCAAAAAACGTGTGATTGTGTAATGACTAAATATTTAAAAAATTTCTGGGCGGCCATTTTATTTTTAGGTCCAAGGGCGGCGATGAAAAACAGCAATGAAAATTTTTTTTAATTGGCCTAATGCCTTACATATGTTAGGCAATAGGCATGCTTATAATAATGCACCAAAACAAGAGAATGCCTTTGATATATCCATTTTCAGCATGGAATAAGGTTTAAGTAATAAGCATAAACCGTGTGGTGCATTGAGCATTCTAACTGATGTATTACCTGAAATACATTTCCTGTATGACCACTTTCATAGTGAAACTTTTTCTTTCCTCTTGTCCAGTCCCAGAGCACAAGATTTAAATCATCACTTCCCGATACCAATACATCACCTGTTTCATTAAAGTGCAAAGTATTTACACATCCAGTATGATATTCAAGCTTTCTCTCCAATTTGAATTTCTGAATCATGTTTAATGAACCTGTCACATTCCTTGTAAACAAATACGGTGTGCTGAAACCTAACTCTCGAGAATGCAAACTTTTATGGCTCTTCCAGATACGTTCACTTTTATTCAACGCGATTCCTAAACGTTCTAAAGTTTTAGGTTCGTCAGTAGTAGGTCCATTATCAGAGTCACTGTCAGTAGATTGCAAAAGCTCTGGTTCCTCATCTGAGTCACTATTGTCCCAGCTATCATTATCATCACTGTTCTCTTGGGAGGAAGCTTTCTTTGACCTTAATTTTCTTTTATTATTACTACTCGACACTGAAGCTTTCCCTTCATCATTTCCACTTGTTTCCTTGCAGAGACATGGACTATCAAGCTCATCAGCATTTTCGCTTGATAATCTGTCCGTGCCCGAAGGATCACTGTCGTTTTCGGTGTCACTGTCTCCTGTCGACTCCCAATTTTCCTCCTCGTGTACAGCTTGACGTTCATCTAGTTCAATTTCTTCTGGGGTTTCGTATACATCGCCTTCTTCATCTAAAATTGCTTCCCTTTCTTCCCGTTTCTCTGAGTCTGAGGACATACTAATGCCCTTTTATAATAAATCAAGGTTTATAATACTTGTTGCGTTGAAAGCGCACAAAAAAATCAAGTTTCTCGCATGTTGAAACTTAGCTTGCACACCCTATACCAACGAAAGGAGTAATGGAACTGTTCAAATCATAACTATTTGTTCCCAATTGTTCGTTTCAAAGCTAATATCTTGCATTTTTTCTGAATTTGTAATTGTCAATGAGCATCGAGTGAACTTGTTGTTGTTTTGTTTTTGAGCCTGCGTTATCACGGCCAGCGCTACTGATAACAACATGGCGGATGACGAAGTGGCTGAAAAAACGAAAAATGTTCAAACTTTAATCGACAAAAAAAACAAAATTGAAGAGGAAATAAAAGAACTGCATGGTGTTCTTGAATCAGTAAGTTTATTGATTCCGTTGCGACTTGCGAGACGTTTTCTAAAACGAATTAACGCTTTTTTGGTATTAAAATCCCCGCGTACTTTAATAATAATTAATCGATGAAATCGATAATCGATGAGTATCGATATCAATCAATACCAATCGATATTTATCAATCGATTGATATTGGAAATCGATGAATAATCGATGGTTTCTTTTGCTGTGATTGATCATCGATTTATTATTAATTTTCATTGATGAAAAAATCCTGTGTTAATATGCATGCAATCAAACAGGTAACGCCGTAATTTAATTAATACGTACTTTAATTTCGTAACAAACTCAAATGTGAACGGAATTCAGTAACAATGGATTAAATTAAGTTTTCATCTAGCTATAATACAGATCAAATACATGTGTACATTTGAAAAATGAGAACAGATTTACTATTTAGGTTTGCAATTATTTAGGATATAAATCAATAAAAATCGAAAGCATTTTGTCGATAAAAATCGATAAATATCGATGAAAATCGATGAATATCGATAATAATCAATAAAATTGGTTATAACTTTTTGTGACTATCGATTGGCTATCGATATCAATTAAGTAATTAACATCGATTACCATCAATTGATCGATTGGATTTCTGATGATCGTTTTTTATCGATTAAGTACGCCGGGTAAAATACGTGTTTGCAGTCAGACAGTCAGTTACTATATTCACGCATTAATCATGCTAAGAAAGCACACATTTTTTTTCAAGATTCTTTTGCTGGGTCCATTTTTAAATTTTTCGCTCCTGGTGGGTATTGCTCTTGGGAAGCAAAGACCCTGGTGGACGCTGGTCACGTGATCTGCTAAAATCTAGCAGATTTTTAATTAGCGTTGTTTTGTCAATCTGGGAGGGGTGGGAATGTAGTAGTTGACATTCGCCAGATGCATTAGTGTTGCATACTTCACTTTACACGTTTAATAAACATGATTTATACTGTTCTAAATTTGTACTCATCATGACAAGATTTCCTGCTATACTGAATGTCATCACTACTTGAAGTGCTGCGGTACATTTCAAGCGAGAAGCTGGATCATATTTCACTTGCAAGGAAAACACTCCACACGCGCCTGGCTTGCGAAGTCGAGCACGCATCAGATCGCCGTAGAAACGTACATATCTGATATCTTCTACACCGACTGATCGTTCAAACGGTATTTATAAACGAACGATATGATATGGTTGTTTATAGTTGAAATGTATCCTGTCCGATATTCAAAACAAAGGATTTATTTTATAACTGGATCTTTTGATTTCCCAACTGAAGTACTGAATATCGCCAACTGT